GCACTGAAAAACCACTCGCCTACAGAAGGGAGCTCAGGGGTATCTCTTGTCTCACATCAAGTTCTAAAAACTGAGGTTAGACACACAGCAGCAGAGCACTGGATTATTCCTATGAGACAGTAACATCTCTTCTTTTATCTCTCTCATCTTTCACAAAAATATTCTGGTTGCAAGCTCCACAGTCCTGCTGGAGTTTCAGGGCTTTATGTTAGATTTGCAAGGACTTGGTGAACAGGTCTCAACTGAGTCTCATGTGAAGGCCCAGCACAGACTGTGGTGTATCATGGATGTCAGCAAACTTTGCTTGTCTGTTATTGCCATGAGCACTGTGACAGTATCTTACAAAAGCCATCATAAAGGCCACCGACAGACAGCCATGCTCAGGATCTCTTACCTGGTAGAAGTTCTCCAAGCTCAGAGAGCAAGGGAGGTGAAAGGAAAGTCAGTGAGGACATCTGGACATCAGGATTATTTCTGATAGACACAAAGTGGGGTGGCATTATAAGGCTTTTCTTACAAGCAAAGGGTACCAGCAAAGGGTACCAGCAAAGATCTAGTGTTTCCCTCTGGTCTCCATGAGTACAGTCAATCCAGGTGAAACAACACCACAACTGCTGGCATGGATGGATTTCAAAAGCAACCAAGCTGTACTCAGAAACTTATCTTTACCACATCTCATCATCACAGGATGATCACAGCTGAACCAGCCTTTCTGTGAGGTAAGACGATGCCTCAAGAGTTGGTTGCAATAAAGAGGGAAAAAGGACAAATCCTTCTCATTTGAGTCCCAGCCAGAGGATGCTTTAGCAAAGAAAAAGCCCCACAACATTATTTGCACAACTAGACTTTGGCCTCCCTGATGTTCAATTTAAGAAGCACTTACATGGTGGTCTAACTTGAAAAGCAGAGCTTAGATATCCAGAGTGGTGCCAGGCTAAGAAATCAGGAAGCCATTTCATTTCCAAGTACTATTTAGACTATTTCTCACCATGAGCGATATCCTGTAGTTTTTACCTGAAGCCTCATTTTCTTTTACTTGAATACGCCTCCTGAATTTTAACATGGGTAGCACTTGTGTGCTTCCTTCAGCACTTAGCTGCCTAAAATATTGATAAAAAATATCAAAATATGGATTTATAACTGACTTCGGAGCATTTGGTTTTGAAGAAAACCACATGCTCCTCCTTTTCTTAAATATTAATATGAAGATTGCCTGACAAAGCCAAAAGGAAAATTTGAAAGTTTGATGTATTGTTTAATATCCAGTTCTAGCTGGTTACAAGTGTGTTTTGTCTTGTCGTTCATAACTTTTGTTATATTCCTTCCATGTGTTTATTTGACTCAACAGTTAAATTAGATAATGTTGAATTCACCTCAACATTTATGCCTGCCAACAGCCTTTGCGGTCACAAGGCGATGATTTCATTAGAGGAACCAAGAAGAAGTGGAAGGAATGTGGGGTGTGAGAGGAGAAAAAAAAGCTTTTGTTGAAACACAAATATCTTCTGTGAGACTGATTTGTGCAATTATAGCTCTGGCACTGTGATAGCGAGGGGATGTGGGAATAAATACCAGCCAAGCATTTCTCTCACTATAAATATTCTCTTTTCTTCTAAAATCGGCTCAGGCATGGTCTCTGCTCAAACCCCTCCTCTCTCCTTACCAGGGGACTGCGCTTGAGGCCAGGCTGCTCTGCCACGTCCTGTCCAGCCAGCAAAGCCACCTGCAGCCACGCAGGAGCACCGCAAATCGTCACCTGAATTTTGCGTCACAGCCCTCTGGCATCCCATTTTGCACCAGCAAAAGAGGCCAGTGGCAGCACGACCCAGGGGGAGGTGATGCGGAGTATAGCAGTTACCCTTCAAACATTCTCCGTTCCTTAGATAACTGCATAGCATTGTTTGTGTGTAGCAGTATCTATGCCTGCGCTTAGAGGTCATGCATATTTTGCAGTATAGTTATTTGGTTATCAAAGGTATTGCTGATGTTTTGGGTAAGGATTGGAATTTCCTATATATATAATTAACAGTAGGGGGTGGTGCTTTATTGGATAATGGGATTTTTAGATGCTGGAAGTTAAAAGAGAGTGGAAAAGGGAGGTACATATGATCTTTCATATAAAGTGGTCTGGTGATAATGCCTGGCTCATGCTCCCTTTGCTCACCCTTTGATGTTCAGACCATGCATCAGACATGAAAAGAATGACTGACAGTGCTGAAACAACACATGGTGTCTAATGAGCTCACTGGGGCTCATCACACCCGTCTTTGACATTTTAATCTGAGCCCCTCAACTTCTAACAGTTTGATTCACTCTTTTGTTTGCCCACAGCTCTGTGTTGTTGAAAATTGGCCATCTTAAAGTCATCTCCAGAAGACAGAGACAGTCCTTCCCATGTATCACAAACCTCTCTAACTGTTGTCTGAGGGTGTACCTGTCCCTCACCACTTTCCACTACTGACTGCCATCCTGCTCCAGAATTAGGCTTGCAAGGCCAACATCTGTCACCTGCCTGCCTTCACATCACATACATATTCACCAGAAGAGGCAGTGGCAAAGGATTTTGGCTTTGCCCAAGCAGCCACAGTAACTCATGTTTAGACCACAGGATGACTGCCCTCCCTGGCAGACCTTGGGGATCCCCTGCAACGTCAGTGTCCATCTTGGAGCTGCTGCATATGGCATTTGCTGCAGACAGACTGGATGACTCTGCACAGATGGACCAAACACTGGGCTTGGAGGGGACTTTCCCTCCTTACCATGGGGCCTTGCCAGGCATTACTGTGCAGGGAAACCACTCCAGCCTGTTCCAGAGAATAACTGTGGGACTACGCACATATGTGCAACTGAAGTGTAGCAAGTGCACTGCCTCTGAGTCCTTACACAGCAAAAATGCTCTCAACATCTTCATGACTTCTATAAAAAAATTGGCTTATCTGGGTTTATGTGAACATCACAAACATATTGCTGACTGACTGGATATACTGCCATTTAAGTACAACTGTAATATGAGATAGGAACTGATATGTTTTTTTCCCTGCAGTCACAAGAGAGTATGACTGAACCTTCCTAAAACTTCATGTAATGGAGTGGGGGGAGGGGGATGGAGTTTCTCTGCAAATACTAAATACTATAGAAAAACTTGGCATCCTTTGCTATTTTGGCATCCTTTCACCTTTTCAGTCTCTGCAATTCATTCAGCTCCTTGAGGCATTTCTTTCTTCAATGGTTCTACAGGTGAAACCATCTCCTGCCCTCACTTGCTTCTTACAGGGAAGCACTGGCTACCCCTAGTCTGCAGGGCCCTGCAGCTCTGATGCCCTGGCTGTGGGACAGCTTCCCTACATGTGAGATTTGGGATTGCACCAACCCCACCACAGCCTCCTGCATCCTTATGTGTGCACAAAGTGTTCATGGGCCTATGGACCAGCCAAGACCTGAGTCGTTCCCCAAGCCACTGTCAAGTGGGATTGTGAGTCAACCAGGACCCCAGGTAGCAGATCATTAGGTATATCAAAACACAGCCTTTGTGGTCAAGTGGAGAACATGTGGACTCAGATGCTTTGCTGGGTAAAAAACTGTCTGGATGGCTGGGCCCAAAGAGTTGTGGTGAACGGAGTTCAATCCAGTTGGCGGCTGGTCACGAGTGGTGTCCCCCAGGGCTCGGTGTTGGGGACACTCCTGTTTAACATCTTTATTGATGATCTAGGCGAGGGGATCGAGTGCACCCTCAGTCAGTTTGCAGATGACCCCAGGTTGGGTGGGAGTGTTGATCTGCTCGAGGGCAGGGAGGCTCTGCAGAGAGACCTGGACAGGCTGGAGCCATGGGCTGAGGCCAACTGGAGGAGTTTCCATAAGGCCAAATGCCAGGGGCTGCCCTTGGGCCACAACAACCCCCAGCAGCACTACAGGCTTGGGGAGGAGTGGCTGGAGAGCTGCCAGTCAGAGAGGGACCTGGGGGTGTTGATTGACAGCTGGCTGAACAGGAGCCAGCAGTGTGCCCAGGGGGCCAAGAAGGCCAATGGCATCCTGGCTTGTGTCAGCACTAGCGTGGCCAGCAGGGACAGGGAAGGGATCTGACCCCTGTCCTCGGCACTGGTGAGGCCACCCCTCGATTCCTGTATTCAGTTTTGGGCCCCTCACTACAAAAACGACATTGAATGACTCGAGCGTGTCCAGAGAAGGGCAACGAAGCTGGTGAAGGCTCTGGAGCACAGGTTGTACAAGGAGGACGGCTGAGGGAACTGGGGGTGTTTAGTCTGGAGAAGAGGAGGCTGAGGGGAGACCTCATCGCCCTCTACAGCTACATGAAAGGAGGGTGCAGAGAGCTGGGGATGAGCCTCTTTAACCAAGTAACAAGCGATAGGACAAGAGGGAATGGCCTCAAGTTGCAACAGGGAAGGTTTAGACTAGATATCAGGAAGCATTTCTTTCCATAAAGAGTTGTTAGGCGTTGGAACGGGCTGTGCAGGGAGGTGGTGGAGTCCCCGTCCCTGGAGGTGTTTAAGAGTTGGGTTGACATAGCACTGAGGGATCTGGTGTAGCTGGAAACTGTTAATGTTGGGTTGATGGTTGGACTGGATGATCTTCAATGTCTTTTCCAACCTAGACAATTCTGTGTTTCTGTGACATGTTGGTGTGATTCCCCTGTGTTTGGGATTCCTGTCTTTAAAGGGCAAAATGGTACTCACTGAATGGCCTAAGAGCTGTCATTATTTTGGTGGCTCTGGTTCTGTACACCAGCAGATCTAACCGAGTTAAGAAAAGACTCCATTTAGTATGTGTCATTTTAATCTCTGATTAGTTTTTAGCATTTGAATAATGGCTTTTGTGACAGTTGTGATGTGTCACATTTCCAGGCTTTTAGAGGGGAACAATGAGTCTCGTGAGCTTTCACTTCTCAAGAGTCATTCAGCCACTGAACTCTGATGCCACATGCTGCAAATAATCATTTCAGCTGGTTAAGGCTGGGTAATCCCAGCACGACATTTCATATCCAGTTCACTTTTCAATGATTTATTTGTAATTTCTGCTAAACCACAGTTAAAGTTATCCAGAGCTTGGCTGCTAGATCAGTAACAGATAACCCTTGCCATCGACACAGTTTGTTTTGAAGGCCAATATAACTAAGAGACTGAGAATAAATTGATAGGTTAAGAGATGGTATGTGGGAACTGATGCCCATCCTTTGAACACCAACTTCCAGAGCGCAGCGCTGTCATCCGGCTGACCTTCCTCTCTTTTCCCTTGCTGCCCTTGGCCTAAAGTTAAAGCACCTCTGTAGTCAGAGCTGAGCCTGAAAAAGAAGAAACTCACAAAAATAACCTTTCAGAAAAAAAGAAAGACTTCTTAAAAACAAGTCCTCATGCTTTCGCCTTTGTCACAGCCCACACTTCGGTACCAGCACCATCCAGGGCCCCAGGATATTTTATACTTTAGCTCTCAGATCCAATCCAGCCTGATTAGTCCTGTCCTTGCTGCAATCGTGCACTGGGAGCGTCAGCCTCACCTTGGATTACTTCTTGGGAGCCTTCCCCAACAGCAGCATCCCAGTCCCCTCTCTGCTGCAGCAGGTATGCCCCTAGGAGTTGCACTCCTCGCAGTGGCAGGAGAGGATGTAGCGGTAGGTGGCAGTGAGCCGCATGCCCCCCGAACATCGCAATCGCATGGCCTTCAGCTTGGAGGTCTGGGGCCGGCAGCAGTGGCAGGTGGAGCGGAAAGGCTGCTTCAGGACAGTGCTGAAAGAAACCATCGGCTCCGAGCGCGATGTCTGGCTGCAGCGCCCTTCACAGCGAGCCAGCAGCACCATCTGCGAAGCAAAAGAGATGGGTTAGGAAATGTGTCCCCATGGCTGCCAGCACGCAACTAACAATGGCAGATTGGTACCTCTTTCCAGTCTGGCTGGTCTTTTTTCACTTACTGCATCTACCCACCTTGACAAGGACACTGAGCTCACAGTGTATTGCCCTTAAACTGTGTCTGAGAGAGTGGAGGAGGTAACAGAGCAGGAGGAAGGGCAAGGCTCCACCTGGAGTCCCAGGCACCAATAAGGACTACAGGGACTGGTTTTCTGAAAGCTGACCTCAGAGTTCCAAAAAATCACTGTGCTTTCCAGGCACGGTGACTGCAACTGTGATTTGCTGACCCCAGATTTGTGGCAGCTAAGCTCTTAAATCATCAGCCAGACTGATACTTTAGTTGGATATTTTCCAATGTTTTGAGTATATATACTAGTGATCAGCAGAACTGGTCCTCAGAGCCCATGAATCTCTCAAATGCTTAGATATATAAACATATGAAGTACAAATATAAAGAAGATACTCAGTTTACTGATTCTAAAGAAGTAAGTTTCTAGCTCCCTCCTTTTACAAAAATCACCTTTATTTATTTGAAATTATATGTGTGTATATATATATATATATAATTGCATTGGTTGTATCTGTATAAAATGCACTGCAAAACATAAGGCACTGAAAATGTAAACAAGATTAACACACTGCCAAACATGAGGATTCACTAGTGAGTTTTTCCAAAGGCAATGAAGACTCCATGGTTCTTCTCCTCCTGAGTTCACTGACTGAGCTGTGACCAGAACAAGGTAACTTGCACAACAGGAGGCACTAAGGAAGGAAAGCCCATGGGGAGTCACCTACTCCCCATCCCAACAACCTCTTGTTGAGCAGAGGAGGCGGATAGAGTCTCCTAAACTCTGTATAAAACATGGAAAGGATCTTCTAAAGCTTGAGGAATTATGTGGTTAGAAACAGCTGTTGTCACGTAGGTAACAGGTAAATCATAGAATTATAGAACCGTTTGGATTAGAAGGGACCTTAAAGATCATCTAGTTTTAATCCCCCTGCCATGGGCCAGAGACGCCTTCCACTAGACCAGGTTGCTCAAAGCCCCATCCAACCTGGCCTTGAACACTGCCAGGGAGGGGGCAGCCACAGCTTCTCTGGGCAACCTGTTCCAGTGTCTCACCTCCCTCACAGTAAAGAATTTCTTCCTTATATATAAAATAAATCTACCCTCTTTCAGTTTAAAACCATTACCCCTCCTCCTACCACTACACTCCCTTAATAAGGAGTCCCTCCCCATCTTTCCTGTAGGCCCCCTTTAGGTACTGAAAAGCCACAATAGGATCTCCCTGGAGCCTTCTCTTCTCCAGGCTGAACAACCCCAACTCTCTCAGCCTGCCCTCATAGGGGAGGTGCTCCAGCTCTCTCAGCATCTTTGTGGCCTCCTCTGGACCCACTTGAGCATGCCCTTCTTATGCTGGGGGCTCCAGAGCTGGACACGGGACTCCAGGTGGGGTCTCAAAAGAGCACAGTAGAGTGGGAGAATCTCCTCCCTCGAACTGCTGGCCACACTGCTCTTGATGCAGCCCAGGATACCGTTGCACATTGCTGGCTTATAGTCACTAATATCCACTAATACCCCCAAGTCCTTCTCCGCAGGGCTGCTCTCAATCCACTCATCCCCTGGCCTGTATTTGTGTTTGTAATTGTCCCAATCCATGTTCAGGACCTTGCCCTTGTTCTTGTTGAACTTCATGAGGTTCACACAGGCCCACCTCTCCAGCCTATCCAGGTCCCTCCGGATGGCCCATCCCTTCCCTCCAGTGTATTGACTGCACCACAGAGCTTGGTGTCATTGGCAGACTTGCTGAGGGTGCACTCAGTCCCACTGTCCATGTTACCAGCAAAGATGTTAAACAGCACCAGTCCCAACACCAACCCCTGAGGAATGCCACTTGTCACTGCTCTCCATTTGAACACTGAGCTGTTGACTGACACTCTTTGAGTGGGGACAAATGTTGAACAAGTTTGAACAAACTCTTATACCCTCCTGGGGAATGAAATATTAAAACTATATCAGCTAATTCTGCTTAACCAACACAGATTTAAAAACTAATTTATTGTATCATCCAAACAAGGTCAAAATGTGACAGAGGTGAGAAATTAGGCAGTAACAGTTCTAAGTCTATCCTATAACCATGCTGCACATAGCTTATGTTTTTTCCAGACAATCTAAAAGGATAACTACAGATGTGACAGCAAATATTTTATGTTAAACATTTTTGAGCTTCTTTCACTACACATGCTCAACTGGCTGCAAATCTCCAAGTCTTATAAGCAGATTTAATTTTCTCTTTAGTCAGAGTCATGAGGAAAGATAAGAGAGAAAGAGAGAGAGAATATTCCTGGTATCAAGTAAGAAATACCAGCACTGTCTGTGTTAATGGGAAAGGTGCTGATCATCCATTGTACAGTGCTTAAAAATTACTCTTCCAAGAGTACTTGAATGCTAAATGGCTTGCTTGGAAATGTATTAATACAATAACAACTACACTTCCAGTCAACACAGAGATCACAAGGAAGGTGTCTTCATGAGCTGATTATCTGCGGTTGGTACCAACTTGTTTCTTGGTTTAATTAAGAGATGGGTTCTTGTTGCTCTCTGACAAATTTGCCATCCTTCATGATTTGTAGCATAAATTTATGGTCTCCTTCCTGTGATGCTGCATATTCATAAGCAAATTCAGTTCATCTGTCAGTAGTAATGTGGAGGGAAGTAACTTCAGTGTACTCTTGAGCCGCACTCCGGCTTTAGACGAATCAGCTATGTCAAGCTCCTTAATAAGAGTGTCTTTAGTGTATATGAGAATAGAGAAAGGGACAAAAATTACAGCTAGCACCCCATTACTAACAGATAAAGATCCACTTTTTCCCTCTTGGTAAACAAAACTCACTTCCCATAGTGACAGGCAGGCAGCTGGTGAAGCTACAGGGGTATCTAATCCTGCCTGTATTGCAAAGGAAAGAGACAAGAATGGGACATTTAAAACAGTTAGTTCCCTTCTCAGCACCTTGACAGCCACTTTGCCCAGTTCACCAGACTGTGTGCAGTCTCTGTCACAGGCTATTCCCAAGCGTTTGGCCAAAGAGGGGGGTGGTAGCTGGCAACCACTTGAAAGTTGCAAAGACAGTGGAGCCAAACTCTCCTCAGGAGTGCCAAAGGGGGATGTGCAATGGCCACAGGTTGTTTTTTGGGAGGTTCAGAGGACTTCCAGAGTCCCTTCCAACCAACATTTCTATGATTCTGTCATTTCAGTCCAGATAAAACAGCATGTGTTGCTGTATGGTGGAGGTAATTTCTAATGGCTGATGCTTCTGGAGCTGGAAGAGTTAGTAATTTCTGGTACTGTTATTTCAGGACTTTTTATGGCACACATCTGCTCCTGTATCTGCAGATACTTTCAGAAATGCCAGAAAAAAAACCCGCAAACCCCCAAGGATCAGGATTAAGGACTATAGAAGAGTTGCAGCAGCATAATTACAGGGTAGAATTATCTGATGTGTCAATATCTGTGTCTCAATACATTTGTTACAAACAGCAAGCTTTCTAATGCAAACCCAGTCGATATTTCTTCAATGTGCAACTGCACTTATAATTGCTTAGCAAGCCTTGTCCTTAAAAACATGTTTTAGTCCATCGAGACTAAAATTTTTAATCTCAAATTTTGTTGGCTACTTAGTTTTTTATAAGAGCATGGTCGGTATTTGTACCACATAAAAGTACACAGTGTTGGTTTTATGCCCTGGATGACAGCGTAAATTTTTACAAATGGCACAGGACCATGGGCATCAAGTCAAATGTGCAGGATAAAAAAATTTCAGATTTCCCATTCTGATAGCTTTCTAAACTTCTGGGCTAACCTGAAGTCCCCAGCAAAATTTAACCTCCTCCTCTTCATAAATCCAGAACAGCACCAGTGGATTTTGGCAGGTGTGCAAATGAGCTGGAAATAGCATGTACTTTAAAAGCTTTGCTTTGCCATTTAATCAATTGCACCAGCTGCTTACTGCATCGTATACTATAGCGCAATAGAGATTATCGCCTAAATAATTAGTAATGCTATGATGGCATAGCACAGTAATACAGTGGGTGTATATATAGTAAAAACGTGTGGGTATTTTATAACCTGAAACGTGTGGGTATTTTATAACCTGATACGTGTGCCTCTTGGCTCCCCTCATCGCACACACATGAGAGGTTGTGCGTGTCACCTTGCAGTGCTGGATCCGGAAGCACAGCGTGCTACAACGTGGGAACCACAGGGTTCTTGCATGCATGAGCAGCTAGGGAAGAATAGGTTTTCTTACTTAAAATCAGCAGTGTCATAGATATCTGGAAGGCCATGAAAGAGAACAACCTGAATCCAAGGCAATATTTGACTCTGAATATTCAAGCCGTATTCTGGAAATTCAGAAGTTGTGAATGGATTTGTTATTAATGGCATTTATAGTCCTCTTTTCTGCACTCTTCAGCAACAAGCTGAGGCCCAAAAGGAGGTGGGCTGAGATGCACGAGAACAGACTTTCACACAGTATCCGTGGCCTGGCTGCGAACAGGCATTACTGAAAATCTCCTGAGCTATCTCATGAGTCTTCAAACATTTGATAAATCTTTCTTCATCTGGTCCATGTCTCTCTGGGCTGGATTCTTTCGTGCAAGGCTGTCAGTGGTAGCACACTTCTGGCACATCTGGAGGAAGCACTTGTGACAGCCAATACTGTAATTTAGGAGGCTCTGGTTGCAGCGGCAAGGCAATCCAGCACATCGATGAAGACCAGTGGGTCTCTGTCACAGAGGTCAGGCAGAATCCAATATGGTCAAGAAAGGAAATACCCCATGAGCTGATAGGAACATTTCCTTTAAGTCAAAGGAAAACACTGTTTTTCATGAACCTTTCTCCATCTCTCTTTTTTTTTTTTAATTATTTTTTTTTCCTCTTTTATACATTTGTTTACTATAATGGACTATATTTCTGAAGGTTTTGGAAACCTGTTTTCAACATCTGCCTGAGGTCACAAGCAAGAGGGATTTTAATGATTTAAGTTACATAGGGTAGATGTTTCCAAATGTAACAAAATTACTTCCCATGTGGGTACAATTGGCAGCCTCCACAGAGAAGCATGGTGGACATAATCCTTTTTTAACCAAGACAGACAGCAAACATAATATGTCTTGAAATTTCTGAAGCCATTTTTAACTTCTGTAATTCTATGCTACACTAAAAAGGAAAACATACAGAGTGAAAAAGGATGGCTCAGTGGAACCAATATATCACGCCAAAAAAGGGCAAAGTCTCTGCTAGACATCAATTGTCAGTCCAAGCTTCACAATGGAAAACCAGTGGAAACAAGAATTAACAATTAACACAGCTACTCCTGCAGAACCTTCCTTTTTTTGACTTGTTTATATTTTATCACAAAATATATATAGGAACAGACATTGCATTTAATTTTCATTAGCAAGTCTAATATTGGTCTGTGTTTATATGCCAGATTCAGAACAGAAGCCATATGTCTACCAGGATGATTCAGATCCCCAAGACCTTAAAAAAACCCCACCCAACTTGATTTAACAGAGAGAAGTTTTCTAGGAAATGTCAAAATTATTTCGCTTTGTAGGGAAACTGTTTCCATTCTTCACTTCATGACAAAGTCCATACAACTCGCAGTATTGTTAAACAACTGTTCTTGAAACCATTGTGGAATTTGGGAAGCCAAGAGATGTGATATTTTCAAACATGATTTCCATTAAAGGCTTGATTTTAAAAAAGTCATTGACATTTTTGCAGTCAGAGTTACAAATGTTTATGTCAACAGCTTTTTTCTCAGAGCTCAGTTTTGAAATAATATGGTTTTCATTACAATGCTTTCTGTCTTCTCATTTCAATCAGTTCCACTCCTAAAGGCCTGATTACTTTTCTCTGTCATTAGGGATGCTAAGAAATGTAGTTGTTGATGGGTTTCCTTCCTTCCTTCCTTCCTTCCTTCCTTCCTTCCTTCCTTCCTTCCTTCCTTCCTTCCCTCCCCCCATTCTTCATGCTCCAGGATGGATTTGGACCTGTTGTGTTTATCCTCTTACTTCTGACGCAGTGTGCCTAGGTCAGTTATACTCTGTATTTCTCACTGCCCTAGTGAGCCAAGCTGCCACTTGTTACTCATTTGCTCTTTTGCCTGTAGAGGATCAGAGGAGGATCTTGCTCAAAGCTAGAGGCCAAAGGGCCTCTGGGGGCTACCTACTATCTTGCCTACGTTACATACCACAACTCCTCCTGCTCTCTGGCAGAGCAGGGAGCCAAAAGTGAGGGACAACTGGGTGGAGCATCACCCTCCTGGACAAACTATCACTGTAGCCATGGCTTCTCAGGTCTATTAGGTGATCTAAAGTGCCTTAGGAGGGGAGGGCTGCTAGCACACACATACCAGTAAGTAAAACCCACCCAGACCACCCAGATACCTACACTTTTCACCTTTGCCTCTCACTGGAGCCAACTGCAGTAAAAGCAATATTGCACAAACAGATGCAGTTCTGCAGTTCTGTATGTTAATGCTGGATGTTTCCCAGATGGTAAGAAGATCTCGTCTAGGCTAAAAACAAACCAAAAGATCTCTCCTGAATCACAAATAATGCATGATTTTACTGTTTGAACTCAGAAGCAGTAGGGCAGAAGTCTCTGATGTCCCACTGCTGTGGATCAGGCATGGTTATGCAAAGCCAGGCAAACAGCATTGCAGAGACACTGGTGTAAGGCAGTCCAGAGTGGGGCTTTCCCCTGTGCCCCATTTCAAGGCCATAAACCCCTCTCTGGCAAGCAGGCACAGGGCAAGCCCTGTGGAAGGTGCACAGCCAGGGAGGGCAGCAGCCATCCTGGTGCACAGAGGGAGCACAGAGCACCACGTGGGTCTTATTTTCTGTCGATGTGTTTCTCTATGTTTTATTTTAAATTTCATGGCCTGCTGCTACCTGTGGTATTACCTCACCCCCACACTGATCACAGGAAGCAAATAACGCGTTCTGCGCACAAAGGTGTCCAAGGGTCTCTGCAGCCAGCTGAACTGTGTGGATCCTCTCTCCCCGGAAATGCTTCCAGGATCACTTCTGATGGGACTTGCCATCAGGCAACGCTGCAGGCAGTCCTCTTGCCCTAAACCCCATCATGTACCCGTTTCCCATTGCTCTCTTGCCCAATGCACAGCTGGCAAAAGCATTGGCGCTGGCAGTTGTTCCCTTTTGTTAATCCAGGGATATGGGTACATAAGGCAAAACCACTTTCTGTGGGACAGAGGGATGGTCCAGGCAGAGACTGTACATCTGAATACACACTGGGTTTACTCAGCCGGAATGAATTAGGACAAGATGAAAGAGACCAGCAAAGATTTTCCCATTGTTTCTCACCATTCTTTTTCTCCATGCAATGAAATAAATGGCTGTAGGCTACATGCACAGTCTGCTAAACCATTTTGACACAAAATTTTTCAGGCTTGAAATCTCAAATGAAAGACAATCTTATATTTCCTTCTGCTCCTAAGCCCTACAGTAAACATCCGATTGTCATTCTGCATGAAAACAAAGGCCTTGAAAATAAATGGGGAAAAAGAATTAGCAATGTATTTCACATTCTTTTTTCATTATGATTTTACAGCTTTATTCTTTATCTCAGTACTTCACCCTGAAAGTTCTAAGTTTACATACTCTAGACTAAAGACTCCCTTGAAGGAGTGGGTGACTAGCATGATCTAAACTTCCAAACTAGCCCATCTCCCTGGCACTTGTGGCTGAGACCCCAATGTACTCCTTCGAATCTTACCATTTACTGTATGTTAGCCTTACCATCATGGTGTGTTGCTCCTTTTGAGAAGAAGAGAATCGAGGGCCTTTCTCTCCAATCCCAGTTCTGATGTACACACCCAAAATGGCTTATTTTAACAACTCTGATGATGCAGCACCCAGCTGGGAGTGTGTGAGGGAAGTCCTTACCTTCGAGCTACACTTGTAGAGGGGGTGGCTGATGGAGTCAACGTAGTGATGCCTCATACAGCGGCTGGGGTCGGAGTCAATCATGAAGGAACTGTCTGTTTTACTGTCCGCGTCTCCCATCATTGCCAGGAGAGAGAGCATGGAAATTGAAGCCGCAAGTACATGATTTCCCATTGTCGAGGGACTTCTCGCTGATAACAGCAGAGGGAGGTAGAGTATTAAAAAACCTCCAAATACCGGCAGCCAGTTCCTTTCCAGGATGGTGAAAAGTCTGGTTTAAGTCTCTTAGCTGTCATTCTTCTTCTCGAGTTGGAGTTTGCTGAGATTGTAATCCGTCAAAGAATCTCCTGCATAGTTGGAATAAAAACAACATAAATCACAATCCTAACCAAAAAGGCCTCTGGAGAAAACCAGACATAAATAATATTAAGGTACATGGGATTTTTGCTAGCCAAAATATACACTTGGAGTGAGCATCATTCCCACAGTAGGTAGAGTTACATAGCATTAGGAAGAAGATGTCAAGGCCTTATTACTTTAAGCATGGCTCTATCATTTTACTGGGGAGAACCTTTTGACTTTTAACATCACAAGTGGTGCAATGCCAATCTTTTTCACTTGGTGATGTCCTTAATGGTTTTCCCCTCAAAACCGGTGATTCGTAGCACATCATAGATTTCTGCAAATTGAAAGGACTGTGTATCCACTCCAAGTGTCAAAGTGGGGCAAAGCTAGGCTGCCTTCTGCACTACAGATGGGAATTTCTGTCCTAGGTAGCACATGGAAAGGCTGGAGGCAAACTGACCCATGGCTCTAGGAGCTGCATGTTGGTTTCCTGCAGCTGCTGTGCTGCAGGGACAAGGATGGGCACCCCCAGGATGGAGGGATGCTGAGGGTCCAAGCCCAGTCATGAGCAAAGCAGTCCCCTAGGAAGCTTGCTGAGCACTGACCCACACTACAGGGACAACTACCTAGGTCTTTGGCTGCCCTCCTGAGTGCCAAACTCACACACACACAGGTAGGCAGGCTTACTCGTCAGGCTGCACTTGCTCAGTGTCAGTCTCTTCCCCGTTAATTAAAGAGCAGCATCTGAAAAATACATGACATTTCGTAATATTCAAGTACATCTTAGCTATCAATTGGGAAAAAAAAATATACGCAGGTGAAGTCATGTGGATATCCACCCAGGCATCCAGATTTCTGATGCACATTCTGAGCAGCCCCTGAAACACTGCCCAGAGTGCTGTGCCAGCAGGGAAAGAAGGGCATCTCCCTCAGCTGCTTCATCACAGTGATCCTTCCCACAAAACCCGTAGTCTCAAATAGGTGATTTAATTTTGCTTTTACTACAAATAGCTATAGCCTGAAAGAGCTATGAATTATCCATCTAAACACAACCTGATGAAGCAAAGGATACTCATAAATAAACTTAAAAGTGCAAGGACTTTCTAAAGCAACTTATGATAAGACAGTTCCCGGGTCACTAGAAATGCTCCCCCAGAGCCTCTTGCCTATTTAAAGAGCTGATGTGTGCCTTTAATGCTTTATACAAGCCTCTTTCAAAACTGTTTTCTGGTTTGCTGGCAGTACTCTAAACCAACTGATACTCATCTCCCAAACAGCCTGAAATTACGAGGCCTCCCCACCAGAGTGCTTGATGATTTGTGTGTTGCTTTATCCCTTGCTCAAACACTTTTGTGAGAGGAGTACGAAACAGTGAGAAACACTTCCAGAGTTCATCCAAGCTGGGAGTCGGGACTTGTCGGGCTGAAGTGACACAAAATCTCATGCTGGGAAGAAATGTAATTAGGGATGCTCTGTGTATTAGGCATGTTTTAAAGCTGTTTTTGAGTTTCAAACTATTGTCTATGTGCCTAAGGAGGAAAGGAAAAATTATATGACTAGATTTAATAGACAATTTTTTTTTCCCAGAGTCTGACCTATGACCTTGTATATTTTCCTCAAACAAATGTTTTTCAGTGGATGTGGCTATAAAAAAAATACTGTGTCTTTGCAGTATAAAGAGCTTAAACAATACTAAACACTTAGGATCTTGGATACATTTATGCACGGTCTCATTAATGTCAATAGATATCACTCCAAACATTTTAGCAGGGTAAGAGAGAAATCTCTCCATCAAGGGAGCTGGGACAGACTCCTTCCCAGAACTGAACTGTACTACTTGGGTTCATGCAGATGATGCCCAAGGATTAGCTAACAGGAGGGGTGATGTGCTTATTTTTTAAATATATTTAACCTTTTACCTACATTCCTATTCTTCTTTATAAAGATACTGACCAGAACACGCTGTTTGGCAAGGTCTCTCTCCAACATAGTTAATCAGTATTACACACCCAGTAATTCCCTCTCTGTCCAAATAAATTTACTTGATATTGGATGGTTTCATGTCATGTAATATTACATCCAGGGATCCCCATTTCCCACTCTCTCTGTCCCACTGTTAATTCTGTGCTTCTATATCTTTCTATGTTTTTGATCAGTATGATTTAATACAGTGAGAGAAATTTGGAATCCTGGCTCAGTTTTCAAAGGCTTATCTCTCTAGTTTTCTTCAGGAAATAATTGGATGACATAGAGTCTGCCTCATGAAAACACTCTGAGAAAGCTGGAAAGAAGCAGGGAAAAAAGTGTGAGAAAAGGAGGACATCTGTACCTTCTTCAGGATAAGCACAGCACAATTCAAAAAGTATTAACACTCACAATCTTTTAAAATTGCCCTGATACTTCCCTGGCAAAGAAATGTAATGGGCTTTGGTAACAAAACTTTGAAAGAAGAAAAAAACATTGTTATCACATATTTGTTAGTAAAAAGAGCAACCACAGATGTAAATGCGACCCATCTTTTGTGAAAAAAACTGTGTACAGTTGTTGATAGACATGCTGGCAAAATGAGTGTGTAGGTATTGGAAACAGGACTGCAAACAGCACTGGGCTGCTTGCACATCCCAGTATCTCCTGACATACTTATGTGATGTCTACGCATACACAAGTATATATGCCATATATAATTGAGATATATGGAAAAAAAGTCTCACAGGGACATTTAAACATATAGAAGTTAGTGTGTAGATTTTTGATTGTGTAAAGAAAGTCTAAATATTTTCACTCGAGTACATCACTGTGATGAAGTATGTTGACACGACATTTTCCATTTCCCGATGATATTGTGCAATGGCATTTCACTTTAACTATTTAAAAAAAAAAAAAGTTATATCCCTTTTGAAATGCTGTCTGAAATTATTAAATCCTAGACAGTACATAATATCAGGAGCAACATATGTAGCTTCCAGTCTATCCTTTTGACCAAAGCCAGAAGCAAGTATACCTGTAATCATTAATCATTATAGCTGTACTTATGATGACATTTTGTTTCATTTGAAAAATACACTTTTTAAAATCAAAATCAACAACTTCACATACATTTTTTTTTGTTTTATTTGAGCTGTTTTTTCCTCAGTTTCTTTTCGTGTGAAGAACTGTGGTAAACAGCTCATCTGCCAAGCTAACAAAAAGGAAGCTAAAATGCTCTCTCTTTACAGCATCCTGTAAAGAAAAAGATGCAAAGCTGACTTCATATTCTCAGGCTGAAAATTTACTACAAAAATATTTGGCCTAACAGTGGATGAGAATCACTACTTCCCATTTGTTCAGAATTCACTGATATGGGTGTTACATGTTGTTAAAAACTGGCTTATAGCGCCTTTTCCATATAACTAGTTTTCAGGAATTCATAGAGACCTAACAAGTTAAAAGCTGTTACAGCTGCTACCTAAAACTGCTACCTAAAATGGCTACAGCTGTTACCTAAAAACTGCAGGGAAAAATAGAAGACATCCCCAAAAAAGACATGATGAACATACAATGCAAGACTGTATTGCACATGGACATAGCATCAGAGTCAGGGTTATTTTTCCAAATTTATGTTGTTATTTACTACTTTTTGAATGCTGAAATAAAGATTTCTTATCATAGTCCTAATATCATTTAGAGAGTGGTGAAGGTTAAGATTTTGTTTTGCTTTAAAGACAAGAAAATTCCATCATCTGGAATTATTTAGCCAGTTACTTTGTGAGAACGTAAACAGAAATTCCCTTTTTGCTATGTATCTTGGAAAAAATAAAAAGCTGAGCAATTCTCCAAAGGTCTATTGGATCTGCACCACTTTTACCCTGGAAGGTAGGAAAGGAGCAATGGAAAAGCTCATTCATGGTGTACTTCTACTTAGCTGTTCCCCACTTCTGAGCCCCCTGAATTAGGCATGCACGTATGTTCAGCTTGGCCTTTGTTTGCTGTGCATTTTCTGTGTTTGAGACTCCTGCTTGACGATGAGGGTACAATACAAGTCATTCAATGTCTTTTATGTTTCAGAGGCTGCCAAAATCCTGTTGGAGCAGCAGTGTGTATATATAACTAAGCCTGGCCTTGCATGCAGTGCATATTTAGTAAACACAATTACTTGGATCCTACCATGTGGTTCCCTCATTCTGAATTTGTTATGTAAACAGAATAGTTGCAAGTCTACTTAGTTTCTCCAAACTCCAGCCCTAAAAAAGTGTCACTAACCATATACATGTATATATATGTGTGTGCATATGTGTCATTCGCCACTGCTGTTCTGACAAAGAAGTCACAAAGATCTTTATGAGACCAAAATGGATTTCTCAAGAACTTTATCCAACCTGGAAAAATTTAGGCCAGAAAGATGAGGATTTGGGGTTTTTGTGCTCCAAGATCTGGACTGGAGTGGAAAAGAATGTGTTAGGCAAACTACACTGTCAGGTTACACCAGGATTTGTTTTGCAGGGTTAACTTCCACTGCCACAAGAAAAGCCCTGAAAGGGGCTGGGGATGGGAAGGGAAGGAGGAGCAATCTGTGCTGGAGACAACCTCCAGTCCCCCATTCCTGGGCACAGGGTAGTGTTACGGTGTACCCGCTGTGGCCACCTGGCCACAGTGCTCTCACAGCCCACAGCAATCCGCCACCAGGATCTCTGAATAACAAATGTGTTTTCAGAGAACTTGGGGTACCGTGGCTTCTGCTCCTGCAAAGAGTTGCCAAGGCCTCAGCTGAGCAGTTGGCTGGGAGTCCCTGTGTACAGAGCTGCCCCACGCTCGACCACAGCCCCCAGATGACAGCAGCACCTGGACTGCCCTTTGGCTAGGACTACCCCTGTGAAGGGGTACCCCTCTCCCAAAGCCACACGTTGTTCTGCATGTCCACAGCTTAAGTCTTGTTCCAAGGCCACATGTCTGCTGGGACATTAAACCCCGCCATGTGGCATGGTCGGTTCCCAGACCTCCTCCAGCCTCCGCAACACTCAGATGGCTTCCAGCCCATACATCCGCCTGCACCATGCCCGGGAATCACTTGGGGAGCACTGCGTGCTGTGGAGTCACCGTCTGATCGATTTTAGAGAACAGTTTGTCTAGTAGGAGACACAACCTAAGATGCTGTGCCTGATCATTCTTAATGTTGAATCAACTCAGAAGCTTTATCAGCTCCAGTGCGTGCATATTTTACCCTGTAAATACATGTAATCATCTTCTCATCTAGTTATTTTACTGTGGCCATTTCTGTTCCGGCAGTGAAGTAGCTGGCCTCCTATATATGCTCCTTGCTTCGCTCTGCAGACGCCTTTCAAAACACCTGACAAAGTCACTAAGCAGCCATGCGGCATCCGGGAAGCAGCAGGTGAACACAAGGAACTCGAGTTGTTTGTGAAATGCCTCTGTGCAGCATTTGAACAGGTTTCTTCCCCTCCCGAGACAAGGCAAATACCAAACTAAATATTTTGAGTGAGATTCTTACAGGTCTAAATAAGTGAAATGTTTCCCTGAGGCCTCATTGTGTCAAATGAGCGTTTGCCCTGCTGACATCCAGCTGTGCAGAAGCTTGTCCCCTTTGACACCAAAGGGAATGTTCTCACCCATCCTATGGGAGCTCCATCCACCCACTACACCGCAGGATATAGGGCAGCATGCGCCTGTGAAGAGGCTACATGAATAACACACAATCCTGGCCAGAGCTGGCAGCATCTGGTGGGCAAGAGAAGGGAAAGAGAAAAGAAGTAGAAAGGAAACTAGGCTCAAATGAAGGGACTTAAGCCTCTTCATCTGGGTGCCCACAGAAGGGAAGCACATCTTCTGGTCCTACTGAGGCTGTACTGTCCTACCACCTGCCACCCAGCAGCTGCAGAGCATTGTCCCATAAAAACCAAGATAAAATGGACACTACCTCTGAGCAGTCAGAAATGTCAAACACACTGATGGTAGTTGAGAGAAACTCCTGCACATCATTTTCTGCTGTGAGGCTTCACTAAGTCTTTTAATATTTCAGTAGATGAGTGCCTGATTGTAAGCAGATTGAAAAAATAGGAAGACCATGGCATTCAAAGCATAAGAAACAACATAGTATTTGCAGAAAATATAGTGGAAGAACACACTGCTGCAAGCACCCCTGGAAACATCAGCATGCATGGGATGAGCATGCATGGGACTGGTCCCCCAGGCTTCGATGGGACGACTCGTGTAAGGCCCCTGTGAGTGTTCACGCAGTGGGAACCTGGTGCATGAGGTGGAACAAATTAAGCTGAGCAGCACTTGAGCTGGCTATGCTTGCCTCTTCTTTTGAAGTTTTCAAGAATGCTTCCAGTCCTTCAGGTAGCTAGGAGAGAGGGAGCTGACAGAACCTGCTAGGCAGTTGAAATAACAAACTCTAGTGGGTACTGCAAGTTGGTGCCCTACCAGCAGACAGACACAGGCCAACACAGAGAAAAGGTTTTTAATGCGCTCACAAAGAGTAACTACTGGTGGACAGAAGAGTGCTTGTATTTTTATTCTTTCCTTTTCCTGCTTCCAGAAAAATTTAAATAGATTGATTAGGGGCATGTATGGGATCTCTCTCTAATGAGCTAGTAGAGCCATTTAATGGAGAGGTGATGCCAGCCTTGGATTCTTCCTTTATTCTTGTGTCTCACTGAATATCAGAGTAGTCATGGTCTTGAGTCTGGGACAGGAATTGAAAAGAATACAGTTTTCCACTTGCTCATCCAGAGGGTGCCAGATGGGATCACTCCTCAGTGAAGCATCAGGCTCAGAGCTGAGCTGTCTAAGTAAGGCTGCCCATTCCTCTCAGGAGGCAAACCAGCAAGGTTGGCTGCTGGATAAAGTGCAAATATTCCCAGACAAGCATTAGCTGTAGGATTTGCTTCAGTAATTACCTCTACTTTAGTCTTATGACCCAACATGAGGCAGAATTACTTTTGGCCAAATTACAAGTTGCTGAGAGGTCTAGGGCATTCGGGCATGTGTCCTCTACCTGTTGGAGTGTGTTACAAGCAGATGGGCAGTTTTTGTTCTCTTTTACATATTTTCCAGAGAACTCAAAGGACCGTAGTTATCAATAGATGCAGGAGTAGAAATGGGTTTCTTATTCTTTAATACTAAGCAAGGACATCCTTGCCACTGGGACCATCAGAGAGGGCTATGCATGCTGGAGAGTAGCACATGAATGAAGGGGATGTTCTCTCTTTTCTGACACCAGGAGCAAAATCCTCTCTTCTTTTATACACAGGGAAAATTCAGACCACCATCCATATACCTTGGCCTCTGATAATCAGGGAACCTAAATATTTGGCTCATGGTAACAATTTTATGTCTTCTAACAAGGGGAACAGGGTCCCACTCTCTTTGAGCCGTGCTGCTATGACAGTAATGCGATTGTCACTGCCATGGTATGCTTAACCTTTGCCAAACCAGAGCTGAGGCATTAACTCAGATCCTCAACTCACATGTCTTAAAGGGCAACATAACCTGTGCTGCCTCCACACTGCCAGACTGACACAGTTTGCAGCTCAGTAATAATAAGCATGTAAATGTGACAAGCATAAGCCGTAACAATGATTGATGCAAACAGAAAAATAACAAAGAGAAGCTGAAAAATAGCGATGTGGTGAAATTCTGAGGACCAGTATCTCCATGGCACCAGTAGCCTGATACCCTGACACCAGAAGAAAGGCTACACTCATCTGTGGTAGAAAGGATCTCCATGACACACCACAAAATTCCAGCAAACAGGACAAGGACTGATGGTGTCTGGAAGTGGTAGTGCCACTGCTAACCGGATAATAGTCTGAATTAGATTATGTGAAAAAAGAAGGAATATATAGACGGCCAGCTGCTCAAAGGCTTACTACAACCTTGCTTTTATTGTTCTGCTAAGTTAGAGGTGGGGCATCAGAGGGATTCCTAACATACCACTACTGAGAAATTTTAATATGTTCCACGCTGACACATATAAAAAGGAAATAACAGCTGATCATAGTCAGCAGAGACTGCAGCATCTCTTCATATGCATGCACAGAAGCATGGGTAAAGTGGGGTGCTATTGGCCAGGAAGACTCAGACACCCGAGCTAACCTGACCCAACTAAACTTTTTTCTGTCATTGAGCTGAGTTTCAGCAAAAGGGCTGTCACGCGGGAAGCAAGACAGAAGAAAAAAGGTGATCTGGGCATGGCTACTCACCCCATCCTCCTGACATACCAGGACGTGGAGAAGGGCAGGGGAGCTGAGAGGCTGCACATTTAACACTGATGAAAAGAAACACATGTTTACACAACCGACAATGATCCAGTGGAACAAGATATCACAGAGGGCAAAAGTTTAGCTAGGCTGAGCAAAAGGACCTGTTATGTATGGGAGGGTTACTGTCACAAGGGTTTTATTTTTAAAGAGTTTTTGGAAGGGTTATAAACTCTCAGGACTCTCAGAGTTCAGTGGATGGGGTTAGGGAAAAATCCTTCACCATAGCAAGTTACCCCGTGGCTGCCTGCCACGGGGTCTCTATGTCTTTCTTTGATGTGGCCGCTTCCAGCCACGCTCAAGAGGTGGATTGCTCAAATAACAGGGTACTGTGGCACCGTCTCATGTAGCAAAACTTTACTAAAAGTCATAAAGTATCAAGACATCAGAGGCAGAAGAATTTGTAGTATTTGTAATTCAACTATCTAATATTTATATTGTAATTACAATGGTAGTATTTGGAGAAAAAATAAAAAAAGGTGTTTTTTTCTTCTTTCAGTTAAACAAATAATCTGCTCGACTTGTTGCAAAAACAAATGTCTCAGTGGCTTCATTCAAGCTTTGAACCATAGATAGTCAACTCCCTTCAAGGTCCAAGAACAACCATGAGCACTTCCTAGTGCATCTGAGAGCAAGCAAGCCAGGAAGGAGACACAGTCGGCCCCAGGGAGAATAGGAAATGAAGGAGACTCCAGGAGAACTGTCAAATGAGTCACCTAAGGCATCAGTTTGAGCCCCCAAGGAGGTGGATTGCTTCCCTCCCGCCTGGGCAATAGAGATTGCAACACTGGCAACTCAAGCAAGCAAGAACATACAGATGCTATCACAAGCCTCGATGGCACATGAAGGACTGTTGTGGTAGGGCTGATGGCTTTTGTGGAGATCAGCCATGCATAAGCAGCTACCTGGGGTATTGCTACCGCAAACTGTACGCAACATGTCTGTAATAAGTATCCTGCTCTGCACGGGGAATCATCAGCATACATGCATCTGATCAAAACCCAGTGCTGTGCAAACCCAGGAAGCCTACATGGGACACCTTCAGGTAGAGAACTGAGCTTGTAACTGAGCCCCTAATTATAACCCTTCACTAAATTAAATTAAATTTCATTTTGTAAGCTTCAAGCAGCTATTCCTTCCACATTTGCTTTTAACTGAAAAATCTGAAAGCATCTTCCCATAATACCAGTATTACAAATATGATTTCATTATTCCAGCAAGAGCATGTCAGTGTATATAAAAGTCACATTGGGAACCCTTGACTCAAGCTGGTAAGTAATTACTCACCTAATAGTTCTATTCAGGTTGAGGGAATTATTAATGTGTATAACTGCTTACAGTTATGAGCAAGGTCCCATAGCCCACACAAAAGTAATTCATCATTAGTAATTCAAAAGGAAAGAAAAAAAAATTAGACATCCTAAAATGTGTATGTTCTTTTGAGAAGGGACAAATAACAGCACTGTGATTATTATATCCGCATTTATTGACCCCCACCTAGTAGAAGCTATGTTGCTTCTATTAGAAAATAGCTTTGCAGTAAGGAGCTGGTTTGAAGTGAATTTGTCCCCACTCCTGATTTTAAATAATCATTTGCCTGTCCTTTTTCAATAGGCAGAGTTTTCACCTTTCAGCCACTGGGACAGTTACAAAGCTTTAGGAACTCTTAGTAGCATTTAGCATATAGGAAACATTTTTTCCATCTTTAGAGAGCTGCAGAAAGCTTAACAAGTTACTTGTCGTGCCATATGTCCCAGGCAGAAACAAATAAGATGTGTTATGGGGAGGCTATGGGAGAAATTTAAATGAACTTGAGGGGTAGGATAAGAAATCTGCCTGAAAGTCCCACAAGAGTCAGTTCACACACACCGTCTTGCAAATTCAGATTTGCCACAAGGAAAGTACCCCCCCAGCACACACTCTGTGTGAGCCTGCTTTACTGACACTGCAGCAGTCAGCTAACGCAGTACTGAGATTGGTCTTCACATGGTTCATATTTGTTACTCTGGTTTTTGCTACTGGACCCAATCATTTGAACTTTTATAGGATGAATTCACTCACCTGAATCCCAGGAGGGAGACGGGGCTTTATTCGTCAGCCAGGCTCTCTCAGGACAGTGTCCGTTCCCGCACCTCTCAGTTGCACTACACTGACACTTTATCACTGGGCTCATAACAGTGAAACTCTCCTTTTGTCCCAAAGACGCAGAGACAGTTATGCTTGTGCCTCTGACGCTGATACACAGCAAAATGATCTGCCAGCAAACGAGGAGAGCCTCCCTCTCTCCTTCAGCAGGCGGTCTGGGGTCCTGCAGCATCCTCCCGTGTCAGCTACCAACCGCACAGCCATGCTGCATTGCATGTCGCACTGGTGGGGTCGGCTACCTACTAAATATACCCCTCGGCATTACAGTAAAGGCAAACACCGTGGCTTTCCTCATAGGTTTCAGTCAATCAAGAGTGTATATTAAATCTGTCCTAACCCATAACCAGTGCTGTCCAGTCCATAGTAAATCTTCCCAGAAGTTTGGATAAATAATAATGTGCAAATTAAGAGTGCTCCTGCGAAGCATGACACACAAAGCTAGAAATAAATATTGCCTGTTGTTTCAAATTATTCTAAGCACTCTGGCAGATGACTGGCAAGAGAACAGCATGCATAAGTAGTGATAAAAGTAAACAGTCCAGCTTTAAACTAGCAGGCTAGCCTGTGTTCATAAAGCCCTATTGTAATGGGACAAAGAGGGTGCTGGCGATACCGGCATTCTCTGGATGAATTCAGGGCAGAGTCCAGCACGTCCATTCACTCCAAAGCCATGCAGCTAGGACCAGCGCAGAGCTGCAGACATGAGCCCGACACGCTCACAAGAATAGATGTTTAACCAAGTTGCTCAGAAGCACACTGGGCTACCTGTTTGACTGCATACAGGCACCCTTCAGGCAGGAGATATAGTTAAAGATACAAGGATAAGAAGGAGGCACAGGTACTAGAGCTGTGTCGATTCCACATCAACACATTTTAATTTTAAAAATGGTACAAGGAGAACATGTGTTTGTCAGATAAAGAGATTAAGCACTCAGTTTAAGTCCATGTAATGCTCAAAATCTGGAGGAATCTCTTATTTGTGTGCTTACCTTTGGAAAATTCACTGCTCCTTCCTCTCCTCAAACTCTTCGGAGAGCTAAAAAGAGGTCCTGTTACTTCCAAATGCTTTTGTTCTTCTGTCCCTCTGTCACATGGCTTGCCTTTTATATTTGCAACACACAAAAGTTAGGGCTGTTGTTTAAGAGAGAGAGGGAGAGGGAGAGGGAGAGGGAGAGAGAGGGAATGTCAAATGGAAAAGTGCCATTGCAGTCATATATCAATCAGGGCAGCGGCAGCAGCAGCTCACTGGCAAATGGGAATTCCACAGAAATGTGAAGCTCTTGTTATCTGAGAAATCACAAAACACCACCAGCCAAGCTCCCCTCTGCAGGGACTTATTATTATTGGCAAGCCAGGAAATAGAAGGAAATGTAGGCTCTTTTTTTGTTGTTGTTATTGTTTCGGATCTGAAGATATGTACACTGGGGCATATGTAAACCAGTGGAATATAAATCCTGAATCAAATTCCTTCCTAAACAAATGCACTGTGTGCAAGATAAAGCAAACCACTGAGAGGCAAGGTAACAGAGCTAAGTGAAGAAACTGAAAGTAACAATTTTTTTTAAATCTGATATCTGCACTTGGAAAATATCCACAGAAAAACTACCTTTTCCCTGGATTGCTCATTAATCTCCCTTTTTCTGACAGGTTTTTCTTAGACTTTTTTTTTTTTTTAAAAATTGTGATTGATCTCCGATATCCTTAATTCAAGCTGTGCTGCTTCACTACAATTGGTCACCTAAATCATCTGACATTCCCTGGCTCTCCAGTTGGGTAAGCAGACAATAATTTTCTCTATAAATACTTGTCTGCAAATCTGCAATTCTGATGCTTCAGATAACCTGCCTTGAAATTCTGAAGCTTCTTTCAATCAAACTCAGAAATTTCTTCACAAAAGCATTATCTTTTTGCTTTACCCACCTTGCTCTGAAGAACACCAAGTTTGAAAACAGTCGAACCTTTTATATAAACATTGTGGTTTTATGCAAAAAAAAAAAAAAATAGAATTACCTGAGGGGCTGAAGACAGACTCCATCCACTGGAAAACCCCACTCACAACAAGCACATTGCAGCTCTGGATGCACCAAACCCTCTCCTCCACTTCCACAGAGGAGCATGTTTCACTTCCCTTTGGAGTGCCCCCTAGTCATCCTGCAGCATTACGGGAAGTACAGACCTTAGCTGGTTAATTAAAAAATAGGCGACATAGCTGGCCATTCACAAGCTGGATCTGTTCAGAGGCACTGGCCAGCAGATGGACAGGGTCCTGTGTCGATTGTGTTTGAACTCTAAAGGAAAGTTGGTATTTGATGGATGATGTTATTAGCTAAATGTCTTATGTGGTATAAGATCAAAGAACAGATGGAAATTATGCCTTAAAAATAGAATAATCTAAAAGTGGAATGGCTTGTAGATGAGTAAGCATCATGGAAACAATAATGGAGACATTCTTTGGCTTGCTTTGCCACAGAGCCAGGTTTGGCTGGTGAGATAAACAAATGATCCACTTAGGACCGAGATTCTCAGGATGTGAGTTTTGCTGCACATTTTTTCCCTCATATTCAGTGTTTACATTGTTTTGCCTCTTAAATCAACCCCGGGTTTCTCTCAGCAACCATATGTGTACCAGCTCTCAGCCTCCCCCACAGATGCCACTGCGGTCACCCAGGATGGATGATGGCAGAGCTCACCAGCATCTTTGCCTCACTGTAACTTCAGGCTGAAATGTCACTGATGCTCTGGAAACACACTTGCCTTAGACAGATAGACTACACATAGCAATATTTTTTAATTTAGCCAACAGCTTCTTTTAAAATTAAGGCTATTGTTCCTTTGGTCATTATCCCACTAGGCTGTCTCTCTTTTTCTGCGAGCTAGAGAGTGATTCACATACTCCAGTTGCTTGCACTAAGGACCTGCCATGTGCAAGACAAAGGGCTGACTAAGTAGCTCCTGGATGAAATCCTCCAGGAGACAGTACATATCCTACTTATAGTCCTTACTGAAAATGATGCTTAAGTTTTTTAAGGATGCAGCTTAGGTTTCTTATCTTTGTGGCATCTACAGGTGACAATATCTGTATTAATTGTCTGTGGGGTGCTAAGCATATTTCAAATACTCGAGGATTATCAATAATACCTTAAACAGTAGTATTTTTGAGAAGTAGTGCTCAGTGGTTTGCTATCACAGCTACAAATTCCAAATACAGGAAAATCTGCAGATATTGGACTAAAAAATTTTCAAAAAATTAGAAGGGCCTTTCCATTTTTTATCTTCATCTCCAAGACCATGTTTGGCAGTAGGCAGAAGTCAATTGGCAGTTAATTCACCTCACAGGCTGGTGACTTGCAAACTGACTGTCTCATTTGTGGCCTTATGAATGAACTTACACATGATCACAAGCACAAAAGTAGAAGCATCCAATGGAGCCTCCCCTCACCTCAAGAACACTATGGCCCATAACTTTTTCATAGCTGTTCATAAATCTTCAGCTTCTCTCAACCACTGTGACTTAATCCCACCCATAAAACAGTCATTTTAAAGAAACAAATAAAAGCAGAAAGCACGGGAGCTCAGAGCTCAGTTTACAAAGATGATTAGACATTTGAGATGACCCCAGATATTAGATAAGATTTCCAGAAGATCTAAGGTATCCTGCTCCCATCCATTCTGATCTGAGTTCCCTTCAGAGAGAGTTTAGCAGTAGTTGCCTGAAAACTAAGTTTAGGCTCTCCCAACAGCAAATGGAGAGTTTCCATCCCAAATTACTTTCAGTTCAGGCTGGTCAGTTTTTCTCTGTGAACAACAGAGATATTCTGCTGACTCAGCTGGACTAAATACATATTTTAAATAGATAAAACAAAGTGAGATAAATCCCTCCCTCAAGGACTCAGGCTGTAATTTGGAAGAAATGGAGATCCACCTCTGCATGGAGTTCTACCAACTTCCCTGATTCCATCCCCATGAGATGTATTGCAGTCCTGCAACACTAAGTTGCAGGATTCCTTATTCCACCACTGTATGACCTACAAGACTCATGTTTGTCCTTGGCAAAGAGTTGAACTACCATTACCTGCCATTCAGTGGAACTGTTTGCCCTGTTGGCATCATCAAGTGCCATGTTGCTTCCTCGGAGGAGCAGGATTTCACGTCTCCATCATGCGTGTGTTGTGAAATGCATTCAGATTTCCGCAGCAAAGTCAATCTTTAGTTTTCATCTGAAGGTTTTCCAATGCTGCCATTTCTTTCCCAGTCTTTCCCAGGCAATTTTTACATTCTGAGATGGTGGGTGACAGACCTCCATATTATCAAACACAGTTTCAGAACAGTCACTAGTTGGTATCTGTGCTGATTGTGTCTGGGAAGACCATGAACAGAGTATACAAGCAAGGACAATTTTTAAGTGTAGATGTATACTCATACAGAGACAGAAACATCGACACTATTGCTGCAAACAGGATGTGTAGGTATGCATTTCAAGGAAGGATGATGCTCTGTTACATTATTGGGCTGACAAAGGGTGCTTTATATTTGGGTCTTGGCTATTGGTATTCCTTTCAGAGTGGGGAATCTAGATGGAACTGAAAGTCTTGTAATGATAGGCTACAGTAACAACGTAATGCTTATATAATTAATATATAATTTGCGCAGACAAGAGGTACACAGATTTCTTACAGGAAGAATTTTCTATCATTTTAATAATCAAAATAAGTATTAGGTAAATAATATTCACAATAAATAAAATTATATACCCACATACATCAACACAGGAGCAGGTGGCACATAGGTCTGTTTAGGCACTCGACGTTTTTCACATCTTCTTTCTCCCTGTTGTGCATTATCTCAGATTCATTTAACAAGGACATTTAAATACCTAATCACATATATTCTTCTGTAGCTTAAATGAGCCTTTCTTTCAATGTTATATGTATCCATGAATGTGTGTTGTTAAGATACAGTATCTGGAAATCTCTATTCAATGACTTACACATACACCTTTATGGCTCTTCTCATCTAGGAATTAAGGCTGCTATGAAGAAGTTTATGAAAATTGAGTCTGAACTATTCGCTTATTTATTTTACGACAGAAGTTGTTGCCTGCAGACTATACTCAAACTTTATATTGACTTGATAATGTGGTTGCAGCAGAAGTTGGTGTCCCCCTGGCTCCTTCAGCAAGAAGGAGTAGTTAGTCAGGTAGGGCTTCCCTGCGTTGTGCTACCTACAAGACACAAATGATGTTGGAGCATTGGTGTTTTAAAAAGACAAGCTGAAGAGACGGACAAGGAAAACAATATACCAAGGAGAGATCCTGGATGAACAGTGGCTTGAATGTGTCGGTGGGAGGGAAGCGTGCAACTGTCAAGCAGGGGAAGGTTAGCATGAGTGATCCGAGTGCACAGAGTCTCTTCTCTACCCTCCTAATGAAAGTTGCTGCATGCTGTTTGACACACTCAGGCTCCCCTGTGCTCACCACAGAGATGTGATAAACAGTCTGCATAGAGTAAGTGAAAAAGTCTGGATTTCTACACATTTTTAAGCCTATGTCCCTTGTGGTTACTCACTCAGCTTTTACCTCTATATTACCTTCAGATCCCCAAATCCTGCATCTCTTAATGATGTGTAATGACACACCTTGCACTTTGCTCCCTCCCACAAAATTTTCAGCTGCTTTTAAAGCCCCTATGAGACGGCTCGCTGAGCAAGGGGCAGCATGC